GAAAAGTAATATACATTCTGGAGACTGCAGGACACCTATCCACACGCCTTCAGAACATCCGATTGCAACAAAAGAGCGTCCATCAGGCATCCCTGATTCCCATTAGTCAACAGTTTGGCATGGGTGAGTGAAAGGCATCCTCACTGAACGAAGTTGAACAAGTGATGTTTCCTGTGAATGCATTGAAGTATGTCTCGCCACCGAGCGTCCTGATTCCAAAAGCCCTGTTCGATTCCTGTATAACTTTACGCAGAGCGAAGGCCTCATCCAACTTCTTCTTCCATTTAAGGCGAGCCTGTGGGGATTCAGCGTACAGAACGTATGACCCCCCTGTACGGCGATGGTGGAAGGTTAAAGGGTAGAGGAAACGGGAGTCATTGGTCACTGGAGAGTTTTCGGCGCTATCTGGAGTGCGTTCTCCTCGCAAGCCGCTGAGGAGTCTGGTATTTCGTTGAACCGGCGCATCTGAAGTTTTGACGAGAGTGAGGAGATCGAGTGGTATTGGCTGTGAAAAATGTCAGGCACGCTGGCACATTGTGTACAATAAACCTACCCTTCTATGCGCATGATATTTCACAACCCCGTCCCTTTCCTTGGGTTTGGTAACGACCACTGTCCCACGATCGATGAGGCTATAGATGGATCCCAAATGGGCAGAGAACTTACAGTAATTGTCGAAGAGGATAACGAGAACCTCCGCCCAGCCGTTCCATTCCAACCCGCTCTCTTGTTGACGAAACAATTTACCAGCATGAAAGAGCGAACGATTATCGTCCCAAAGATCCAGATCCTGGAAGAAGTGATGAGTTCGAAGTGAGTGTAATGAACTTCGTTGGGCGTACCACAGATTCCCCAGGTTTGAACACTAGATCAGTGATAATTCTCCATAATTCAACCTTCTGCTTTGCTGCCGCAACGCCAGGCTCCGTTTCCTTTCCAAGAGATTTGATCAAATCTATGGCATTCGGAATTCGTCTTAGGTCTTCGCTTCCCTCAGGCGTTTCTTTAAGAATTCCTTTCAGTAGGAGTTCGTAACGCAGTAAACGGGGAATAGGGCGATTGATAAAGTTCTTCATGTCCAGACGGTCAGCATCAGGATGGCGTATACAGGCCTATCCAGATGGATAATCAGTGAATGTTGCCAATATCAATCATGGTAATAGATACCTCGACATACTCCTTGAAGGCGGGGTTCTTCTCGAGTTCTTCATTAATCCTGTGGGCCGCGATGGGATAATTTGGTATGTATTCCCGATAGGCATCCCTGAATTGGATAGCAGCATGCATCAGGGGCTCGATGATGCTGCCTATGACTGGGTGTTGCTCTTCTTGAATCCTCAGGAACGCATTCAATAGTCGTCTGTGATGGTCATATATCTGTCTATAATTGTGAAAGACGTCGTCGACGAATCTATTGAGTCTTTCAGGAGGGATGATCGGAGGATCTGCGGTTCGGAGAGGCACAATGTACATCTGAATGACATTTAGTTTCATCTATGGGAGCGATAAAGATAGGATTGACCTTGCCGATGTTCTCCAAATCCTGTACATAAGCCATCTCCCCTTTGATAAGTTCGAACATGATACTAGATAAGAAAACCAGTACTCAGATATGAAGGATGAGGCAAAAGAATGGATACTGACGCTTGGCGCTTGCATTCCGATTTTGAGAGTTTATCTCTGTCTTCAGCCGACACCAGGTCATGCCATTCCCACTTCCCAGGGGTACCTTTTCCCATGGCAGTTTGAAACGTGGCTAGTTGGGCTGCGGCCTGAAGGCTTTTGATAGCCTCGACAGTCGCCTCTAAGGCCTCGTGATCCGCATTCCCTGGATCCGTCTTTTTGAGGATTGCCTGCAATATCCCCTGCAACTTCTGAAGGTACTCCGAAGGGCCACTCAGTATGTCCTTGAAGCCGACCGTGGGTGCCATTCCGTTTTGAGCAGACCTTCGAGAACATTCCTAACGAAATGTGTTAGCGACTGCAAACATTACAACTCAAAGAGACAACCTCGATGAAGAGCCTGAAATCTACATTATTGTCAACTTCATCTTTCAAACGCTTTTCCGCGGCTGGATACTGCGCGAGATAGGTGGTGTACAACGCCCGGAAGTCAACCACTGCTTCAAATACGATATCTCCGATCGTTTTGACGACCAAACCCTGTTCGCGCTCACGGATGTGCATAGCTTCAATGAAACGTTGGTGGCATTGCCGGAGGCTCGTCAGGCGCTCGAATACAACGCTGATGAATTCGCCAAAATCAGATCGAATGAAAGAAAGATTGACTCTGAGTGGAAGAAGAAAGGCGATCTCAAGTGCCTCCAAGCTCCGGACGTAGTGTTCTGTTTGTTCGACAAGATAATAGATGGTGCTGAAAGATTAAATGAATCAGACTGTCAAGTGTAGCTGCAGAGATTGCATACTTCTGTCGGCGAACTTCGATATTCGTTAAACGATCGGATATCCTTTGACCAACTTTCGTCTCCCATGTTCTAGGCACGGGATGCGACTCCTCTTGAGCTTGGTCCAGTGCCGCACCCAACGCCCCCTACCCGACGTAAATAAGTGGAAATCGAATGAAATACCGCGCAATCACTCACCCTACGAGGACAAGTGTATGAATAGCAGGGAACACCTTCTGTGCAGCGTGGAGAATAGCATCGTGTGAGTATCGTCATTACACCCGAAGGTAAGTCTTCCTCCCTGCGAATTGAATCGCTGACGAAAGTGTATACATGCTCCACATTATCCTGGACTTTTGATGCCTCATCCCACTCAACTTCTGAGAAGAACAGTTGGTTTTGTAAACTCTTCGCAACGTGAAGTGCTGCCCGACGATCGTTGATTGATAGACCGTGATGAAGTACAAGTTCTCGATGTATTTCGAAGTGTATCGTCGTCTAAATAATCTTCAGTACCGTCTCATAAGCAACAATCAGATAAAGCTTACAATAATGTCTTTCCCAGTGAAAGTATGATCATATTGAATCCCGCCCTTTGTATGGGTGGTGCGGGGAATCTTATCCTTGAGCTGAATCGCCAAGTGTGATAACAGTGAAACATGGACCATCATGAGGGAGAACAAGGAACCGTGATAGCCATGCTCGTCATCTTCATCTAGCAAGTATGGCTGCTCCTCCGTTAACTGCGAAAAGGAGTCTACGGGACTATCTCCACCCGCTAAGCGCCGTAAGATGTTGCTCGGGCTTTTATCCACGTCCGACCCCAGGTTAGCGTACGGATATTCCTCGTGAAATTGTGGTTTTTTACGATAGTGATCGGCACTAGAGGAAGGAAGAGGTAACAGGTGAAGTGAGGATAAAGGTGACGGTGGAGTGTCGTGGGTCTCATGTGACGACGAGAATTGACTTTGAATGATAAGTGGATCATCACTGCGCTTCAGCTGTGGGTTCAGAGCTATGCCATAAACGTCAGAAAACAACACATGTAAAAGGAAGGACCACGACGCACAAAGGGATGCTGCTCTTGGGCGGGATTGGATATCACGATTCAAGTCTCCTACTGAAGGATGCGTCGAGATCGCAAATGGCGAGGGCGATGGACCTGCAAGTGGTTGTATAGGAAGGAGAGGAGCACGGGTGACTGACGGTAAAAACGACGGATCTCTTGAAACAGGGTTCGAGTATCTGCGCCCGACCAAGCCAGAACCTAATTCAAGGGTGGCTTGACCTTGATTTGGCGCAGTTTGGGGTCCCGTGGGTAGCCCATGTGTCCCATTTTCTCTGGCATTGGAATCAGGAACGGGAGTAACAAGAGCTTGGATATTTGTATTTATCGAGGTAGAATCAATTCTTAGCTGACTTGAACGTCTCGAGTATGGCCTAGCACCTGCTGGTCGCACTCTCGATGCGACAGAAGTCGGCCTCGGGGTCGGTGACGTGACTGGAGGCGAAGGGAGTTTTCGGTGATCTGTGGGGTATCCTCCTGGTAAGACTACAAAGAGGATATGTTAACAACTTCGCAGAATGAAGTGTGAGTATTAACGTACAAATCAGACTCTCTCGAGTAGCAGCGTACGTGAGCACATCCTGGTCAGTCCCTTGCTTTATCTGATCCTGTGACATGTCCTGGAGCGTTCCTGACGCGTGCCCCATCCAGCCTTCGCCATAGAACTGAGCGGGTGCTTGCTTTATAGAAATGACACGCTCGTCTTGCATATACGTGCGGAGCACGGTCGAATGGGATGGTGAGTGAGTGTGGTCAGGGTTATACCGCCAAGAGGTAGCTAGAGACCCTGATTACACCAGCACCATCGATTCACGGCCAACTTCGGCGTCCACTCTTTTGTCAAATTGAGCCGCCGGTCGGCCCTTAGACACTTTAAGGTGACTTCGCTTCAAACTTGGACTTCCATCGTTGTGATGGAAATTCAACAGAAGTTGGCACGCGAGAAAAGGTCCCCATTTGGATCAAGAATCGATGGTGCACAGATAAGATAAGATGTAAAAACAAGAGCCATGGCACAAGCCCTCAGGCCTCAGGCCTCAACGTTTGAACAGCCAATTTGATTTAATGGTAAGACATGAGGATGAATTAAATGTGAAATTTTCGGCAAACAAAAATGAATTGCTGAAAAGTTACATATGAGGGATTTACACCACAGCAAACTGCGATCAAACCTGGACCTACAGGTGGACGTGATGGAGTTGACCGTTGCTCTCCATGTATGACAGAACTTCTGACTAGAATTATCATCAGGCGCTGTCAAATCACAAATCTAAAACACGGCGGGGCCACCAACGAGGCCCCAGCATGGCTTACGGCAAATGAGTTGTGCGCCCACAGCACATTGAGGCAATGTGCTGCAAGCGTGCGTCTGGCTCTTGGTGGCCACTGAATTGATAAAAATCACTCACCAAATCCGTTACGAAATCTCATGCATCTCATGATGGAAAATTGTGCTTGGGCGCTGGGCGGCAATTTCGATGGGTATACGGTGGATCACTCTGGTTCATACTGAATGATCATTTTTTCAGGGCCGTGTGGCGAAATGGCATCGCGTCTGACTACGAGTCAAAAATCGCGATCAGGAGATTGCAGGTTCGACCCCTGTCTCGGTCATCTTTTTGTTTCACTGTGGTCGCCGAGAAGGTCGATTTTCAACCTGCAGAATCAACCGTCTTACAAGTATCATTCAACCAGAGGCTGGTGAAAAAGCA